AAAGAGACGCTGACTTCCTCTGGGTTCGTCTCATTCTGCTGCAAACAAAAAGCTGCTCAGACTAGAGAAAGCTGCTGAAACCATCCTACACGCGCATGCTCTCTGAGGGATAATCAGCAGGTTGTTAAGTGAAGACGTGTGATAGTGAGCGTTTGATTCGTCATCCTGGCTCCCACCTCCTGACAGTGTGGTGGCCGGGGCGTCACCTTGCACCTCCTCAGTCTGCTGCGAGCAGATGGTGGGGAGACGCTCCGTCACCTCAGCCTCCTCAAACAAAACCACGGGCGCTTTTTTAATCTCAGAAGTCCTTTTCAGAAGTGGAATACGTGACATTGCTGGCCTCATGTGTCTGTCGCTGGCTTTTTGGAAAGAGACACGATGTTCATTTCATGGCAGAAAATGTCGTCACTGCTCAGGTGGAAAGCGATGATATGAAGGAAGGAGAAGCGTTCTGCATCACTGATGGATTTCTCTTAATTACTGACCAGCGTGAGGTTGAAGGACACTCGCCCCTCTTGTCGCAGTGAATCCACTAATATATGCTGTCGTCAGTTGTTAGAGAATTCAGCTGCACAGGCCTCATTGCTTGAATATATATATATGCACTGCTCAAAAAAATAAAGGGAACACAAAAATAACACATCCTAGATCTGAATGAATGAAATAATGCTGGAGGATGTTGCAGGCAGCAGAACATTCTCCAGACTCTGTCACGTCTGTCACAGTGCTCAGTGTGAACCTGCTTTCATCTGTGAAGAGCACAGGGCGCCAGTGCGAATTTGCCAATCTTGGTGTTCTCTGGCAAATGCCAAACGTCCTGCACGGTGTGGGCTGTAGGCACAACCTCCACCTGTGGACGTCGGGCCCTCGTACCACCCTCATGGAGTCTGTTTCTGACCGTTTGAGCAGACACATGCACATTTGTGGCCTGCTGGAGGTCATTTTGCAGGGCTCTGGCAGTGCTCCTCCTGCTCCTCCTTGCACAAAGGCGGAGGTAGCGGTCCTGCTGCTGGGTTGTCGCCCTCCTACGGCCTCCTCCACGTCTCCTGATGTACTGGCCTGTCTCCTGGTAGCGCCTCCATGCTCTGGACACTACGCTGACAGACACAGCAAACCTTTTGCCACAGCTCGCATTGATGTGCCATCCTGGATGAGCTGCACTACCTGAGCCACTTGTGTGGGTTGTAGACTCCGTCTCATGCTACCACTAGAGTGAAAGCACCGCCAAAACATCAGCCAGGAAGCACAGGAACTGAGAAGTGGTCTGTGGTCACCACCTGCAGAACCACTCCTTTATTGGGGGGGTCTTGCTAATTGCCTATATTTCCACCTGTCCACATTCTCTTTTTCAGTGAAGCTGAGCCAAACTTTGGAGCGTTTGCTGCGGTCCGCCACGGTCCAGGACTGGAAACAGAAGGACTCTCTTCTTCGTGCTTTGTTGACGTAACAAATGAGGTGACATTAGATCGGCGTAGCACAGGTGTCGGCAGATAAGTCAAATTTTTTCCAAGTCATTAGATGGCGGGTCAGAACATCGTCAAGTGACCATTTATATCACAACACTTAGTGTGTGTGTGATTGGCTGAGTCGGTGGCGCACAGGACTCCTGATTGGAGGATTGTGTTCAGTCCTCACTTGCTGCTGGTATTTTTTTTCTTCCTTTTTGATTGTGAAGAGATCGTATTACATATCGGAATCAAGCATGTGCAGGTGTGTGTGCGTCCCGGCGATCGGTCAACATCTGTCTGGAGACACTGGGGACACGAACATAAGCGTCCATAGGTTGTATGGACGCTTATGTTCGTGTCCCCAGCGTCTCCAGACAGAGGACATTCCTGCGTTTCTCATTCAGGGGAATCCGATCTCACGTTTACTTCTGGCTTCTTCACAGGTGTGTCAAGCAAGCCAGAGACTCTTTTGAATTTCCTTCAGAACTTTTCAAAGTAAAATCTCTCAATTAAACACGTCATAAAGTACTGCTGCAAAAATGCTGCGCTTGGCACAATCACTTAAGAGGAAGTGATTATGAGAGTAACTTTTGCTGTCATGAGATCCGTTTCATCACCAGCCGCTAATTCTTATTTTGTGCAGCTATGAAAGAACCGGTTCATGAGCAGCACAAATAGCAGAGTGTGAATGGTTAGTTAAATGTGAAGTCCTGTTCAGACTTGTGTTGTTGCATGATGGTCATGTGACTTTTATGTAGAAGTGACTGGCACCTATTCATGCCAACAAGTTTATGTAACAAGGTGCACGTCTGATAATTAATGTCTGAACGCGGCCTAAAAGCAGCTGTTCTTGCCTCTTCCTCCCCACTCCCTCTTTTTCAACAGCAGATTTTGGATTTGCTTCTGCTGTCTTCTTGGCTTGAACACGGACTGATTCTGATTCCTCTAATGGGATTTAGCTCTGTTTGATTTATCTGACTGGGATTTATTTATTTTTTTGTTGTGGGGTTGTCTTTTATTTTTATTTTCTCTTGGCCGAGGTTGAAAAGAAATGTGTTGGCCTTTGATTTGTCTTTGACAGTTCGGCGCTGCAGAGGCAGACAAACCAAGCGCTGCGTTCAGGCTCCTGATGGAGCTTTGTACTGTTGGTCTGTGATATGTGGCTGATGAAACCTTGATGTAACATGAACCCTCAGAGCTGTTTGTGAATGATACAAAAAACACTATGAGGACATATAGTACAGACATACAGAGCTTCACATCTGTGATCCAATACAGGGGAGCCATCAGTGAAATGATGAAACTAATTATATTATCCTTCAGTTCAGTGATTGCTGGCTGCTCTGTTTCACTCTGTCATGACAACAAGCTAAAGGCTCATTAACATTTACACAACTCTTTCATCGGGTTAAAAAATGAACCCAAAACACCTTAACAGACAGTGCAAGTATGTTTGTACAGCACGTTCTAACAAGGCAATTCAAAGTGCTTTCCAGAAGACATAAAGGCATTAAGAAAAGAAACACAAGGCGAAATGAAAAGAGACATTCAAATGGGATTTAAGAGAATAAAGATAAAGCAGAATTAGACAACTGTAGAATAAAATCACAGGGCATTGCAAAATAGCAATTAATAGTTTCCCTTGATGAACTGCAAAAAGAAAAATCTCAAGCTTATAGTTTTCTGGGAGTTTGTTGCTGAAATGTGGACCATAAAAACCTGAACACTGCCTTTTTGTTAGCTTTGACCTGATCCCAGACCATCTGAGGGGTCTGGACGTCTGGACGCTTCATAAACCTGATCCGAACATCTGAGGGGTCTGGACGCTTCATAAACCTGATCCCAGACCATCTGAGGGGTCTGGACTTCATAAACCTGATCCCAGACCATCTGAGGGGTCTGGACGTTCATAAACATGATCCCAGACCATCTGAGGGGTCTGGACGTCGGGACGCTTCATAAACCTGATTTCCGACCATCTGAGGGGTTGGACGTTGGACGCTTCATAAACCTGATCCCAGACCATCTGAGGGGTCTGGACGCTTCATAAACATGATCCCAGACCATCTGAGGGGTCTGGACGTTTCATAAACATGACCCCAGACCATGTGAGGGGTCTGGACGTCTGGACGCTTCATAAACCCGATCCCAGACCATCTGAGGGGTCTGGACGTTTCATAAACCTGATCCCAGACCATCTGAGGGGTCTGGACGCTTCATAAACCTGATCCCAGACCATCTGAGGGGTCTGGATGCTTCATAAACCTGATCTTAGACCATCTAAGGGGTCTGGACACTTCATAAACCTGATTTCAGACCATCTGAGGGGTCTGGACACTTCATAAACCTGATCCCAGACTATCTGAGGGGTCTGGACGTCTGGACGCTTCATAAACCTGATTTCCGAACATCTGAGGGGTCTGGACGCTTCATAAACCTGATCCCAGACCATCTGAGGGGTCTGGACGTTTCATAAACCTGATCCCAGACCATCTGAGGGGTCGGGACGCTTCATAAACCTGATCCCAGACCATCTGAGGGGTCTGGACGCTTCATAAACCTGATCCCAGACCATCTGAGGGGTCTGGACGTCTGGAGGCTTCATAAACCTGATCTTAGACCATCTGAGGGGTCGGGACACTTCATAAACCTGACCCCAGACCATCTTAGGGGTGTGGACGTCTGGACGCTTCATAAACCTGATCCCAGACCATCTGAGGGGTCTGGACGTCTGGACGCTTCATAAACCTGATTTCAGACCATCTGAGGGATCTGAACGCTTCATAAACCTGATCCCAGACCATCTGAGGGGTCTGGACACTTCATAAACCTGACCCCAGACCATCTTAGGGGTGTGGACGTCTGGACGCTTCATAAACCTGATCCCAGACCATCTGAGGGGTCTGGACGTCTGGACGCTTCATAAAC